GTGACAACAATAAACTTTATTACAAATCAGATTACTAAACCTTAATATTGTGTATTTTATTTATCACTCAGCTAAAATTCTCTTGAGCATATGTTCGTGCATATTCATTCAGTTTCTGGTATTTTCCATGCGAATACTTCTTCTCTAAATTCTCATAAACCGGTTTTTTATAGATTAGACTTACCAAATCCTCAAAACATCCTTTCATCTCTCTTCTTTCAATTCTGGAATATTTAAAGAATAAATTAATATTTTCATCAGTCTTACAGATCTTCCTAGAAAGATAAATGGCTGTTGTTCCAATTATCTTATTGGTATACTTCTTAAATTCCTCATTCAAAATCATCAACTCTACAAAATATTTACCCATTGTTCTACTCTTGAATTCAAAATTATTGGCTCGAGATACATTTCTTAGGAAAAATAATGGATTGACAAAATCACATCGATAATCAACACTGTGTAGTACAAACTTCTCTGCCTTCTTCAATTCCATGGCTGAAATAGATGGCTCGAGTGATAGAAAACTACCTAGATCAGGACACTCCACTTCTTCTATCTTTGCAGCTATCCAAAGACAGGATAATCCTAATAGCTGCAATTTGGATACTGGGGGTGTTTTTTTGGATAAGAATAAATCTATAAAATATATTGACAAAAGCAATGTATCACTCACCAATCCTAGTTTTAGATGTGTTGATATTATCCAATCTACCATAGCTGATCTCTGTGAAAAATCAATCGAATTTGCCACAAATTCACTAGCTTTATCAATAGACTCATAATATTTTGTAATAGAGTCTCTGTATATCAGCATTGCAGTTACCTCCCTCTTTTCTACCTTTAGATGAATTGTCTGAACTCTCATTTCATCATCTGTCAGGTGCTTTGAAACAATTGTTTTATTGTGGTTTGTTTTCTCATCAACACCTGTGCTCTTTTTGGAAGCTTTCTCAACATATCTGCAATTCTTCTCCAAAATCCTTTGTTTTTTTTTGATATTTGTTACATTTTGTAATGGATTTTTTAAAATACGAAAATCAGAGACATGTAAGCTAATGTTTTTGGCATTTTCCATCGTATTAGTTTCTGTAATATTATTCTGCAAAGTAATTGTTGCTTTGGATAGTTTATCTGTTTGTTCTAATTTCTCTTTGTCCATCGGGGAAAAAAGAAAAAGATAATTTAAACGATGGAATAATTATTACAAAGAAGTATTATGAAAGAAGGATTATTGTCTAGTTCCACTTTGACTATGTACATATCGTATAGTACAAATTTCGCATCTGTATAGTCCAAACCATGTCTGTTTGTAAATTACATATACTGGTACTAATTTTTAATCATAAACTTTGTAAATTAAACTCTTTTTGTTGGCATCTTATCAAAATAATCTGTTTTACACATTAACTATAAGATCAAAATGTTTGTAAATATTCAAACCTTTATTTACCCACAAATGAGTACCTTAAAAAACAAACTTCTTTTCTTCTATCTAATTCTATCTTTGATAGGATTTATATTAGAGCAAAACAAGCTAATAATGACAGTAATATATCTACCTCTCTTTATTGCGAACTTAATTTTCTACAACATTTTAATTTCAATTGGATTCCAAATGATTGAGACAAACAAGATAGAAATTATATCATAAACTTTAAAACATTAAGATAAACTGGACTGTAATAATAAATAAATACATTTACGATTATTTTTAAGGAATGAGCTAATCAGAAAATATGCTTATCGAAGGAAACAATCCATTAAACACAAATATGTATGAAGAATATATTCTGTCCCGGTTACATGGGCATCGGCTCATTATTTACCCTATTCCAGACATACATATCGATTTCCAGAATCTATTTCAAACTTCCTTCTAATGGCTATTCAACTCTTAAATAATTCTAATAATTCTCATTTAATATCTTTCTATTAATTTGACCCTTCAACTCTTCAAAGCAATCAACTCCACAGATGTTCTTTATTATTTTTGAACTGGATTCGTAATCAAACATATTAAATAGGTAGAACGATCGATAGACTTCAACAAACGAGTCGCAAGATTGCAGAATGAATAAATTGGAGTCAAATGACTTGAACTTTTCAAGGAATGTGCTAAAAAACGGAGTGTTTTCTACCTCTTCATTTAAAATGACACACAGCACAGAAAGTAGTAAGTTGACATTACTATATTGTAAATTCCTACCATCAATTATATTGGCACTATTCTTCAATAGCAACTGCTTGTTATTGATCACCGTAGGATTGAATATACTGCTATTGATAATTCGATTAAATACTTCAAATGATAAATAGAAATCTCTGCTATTAATCGATGCTATTCCAAATTCGTAAAGAATTTGATAAATTGATCTAGAATTTGTTTCATCAATGTTCATCTTTACAAAATACTCCTGGTAATGTTCCTTTGCTCGTTCATAATCACCACTCCTGACCAAATACAGCAATTTATACAGCGTATCATCAGTTTCTATAGTTTTTTGTAGCTTTATAAATTGAAATTCCAGCATTTTATTCTTGTAAATTGCAGGGAAAACTTTATCTATGTTTTCAAGCAGATTTGAATATTTACCTTCCATACCACTATCCTCCAATAAATCGTATATTTTTGTCAGGTAATTGCCAATATTGTTAGAAAAAATTAAACTGAATTGATCTAGGTTATTTGGAGAGCTTTTGCTAGATATGGAGGCACTTAAATCATGCCCATCAACCTGTGAATAAATATTTATACCTTTATTAAGTGTGGAAATCATCCCATCTATATTTCTGTTCCTCAAATAAATCGAGAACAGTGGAATGATAGCTTTTGATTGTTCAAATAATTCGGATCCATCCAAATAATTTACTAACAGTTCTTCCTTCTTCTTTTCATCATTCATATCAAGAATAGATTCCAAGGATATCTTTTTCTGTGTAATTGACTGATGTTCTGATTTAATAAAGTTGGAGTCTGATACTACTTCTTCCTGTGCTCCGTTGAGCTCATCAAAAAATCCCTCCATAGACAATTTCAAATTCTCACTAGTTTGAACTCTCGAATCATCAAACCAATCTAAGATAAAATCGGGTAGTTGATATTGTCCAATAGAATCTGGTCTATCGAAATAGTTTCGATATTTCACTGTTTCTGCCAGGAGTTTCTTCATATTCTTTTCAAATTGCTTCTGGTCATTTTTGGATTTATTCCTCATGGAAATTAATTCTCTGACTTTATCCCTCAATTCCTTTAGTTTCTTCTCCTTCTTTGTAGTTTTAGTAGCTTCTTCAAACAGAACCGCTGACTTTTTTTTAACTTCATCTTTTTCATCATCTAAATTTTGAAAAAATCTGGACATTTTAAAGGGTAAAAATACTTAATAAGAAGACAACAAACTAATTATATAAATTGTTAGAAAGTAGTTTGTCAAGGACACTATTGTATGTTCTATTCAGATTAAAAATAGCTATGTGGAATAAAAAATTCTCATTATTTGAAGAGATATGCCTAGGAAAAGAAACTATCTTGGAGTAATACATAGTTTTAAAATATTTTTTACTACCCTTCTATGCTTTCAGACCCAACGGACCTATTAAAAGTTTACTTGAATGATGTTATCAGTGTCCGATTGAGATCAGGAGAGCAATACATTGGAATACTGGATGGATTTGATGAACATTTGAACGTGTTACTCGAAATAGAGGAGAAAATGATATTTATTAGAGGAGAAAATATTGTATTTTTTGGACAGATTGGAATAAATGGTATGTAGTAGTTATGTGTGAAAATAGTTTTATTAACGAATCTTTTTGATTGGAAGCATCCATTGCCTGCATTGGTGTTCCAGAATAAAGAATGAATCGTTTTGGGAGATTTGGTGCTGATTATGATGAAAATTGTAAATTCTGGCAAAAGTTTTAAAGTATATCTAATAAGTTTTAAATGTTATTATAAATCTGATAGTAGAAAACAATATATTTGATTATGATTCCGAAACGACAGAATTTCATCTATTAATATACCTTTATCTCTTAGTAGCATATCCTTTCCTTCGAATGAGTTTAATATTTATTTCTTTGGCTGTAGTTTATCAATCAGCATTTCATATGTTAGTACAATATCATCAAAGAGATCTTCTTTATTCCTATTATTTTTTCAAATAAATTTTTTTCCAATTTTTTACCCATGGCTGTCCTTTTACTAAAAGAAGCATCTGTAAAGATTCCAGAACAATGTGAGGTTGCCTTGGAAAACAAAGTATTTAAGTTTAAGGGGCCTCTAGGATCTCAGGAGTATGATGCTACGAAATTCAACTTTACATTCTCAATTGTCGATGGACAGATTAAAATTGCAAGTTGGCACGGAAATCGTAGGAAGAATAATACACTTAATACTGTTGCTTCACACCTCAAAAACAATGCCAATGGAGTTGTTACTGGATTTAGATATTCCATCAAGGCGGTCTATAAGCACTTCTCCATAAATATGAGTATAGAGAATAACGGTAAGAAAGTCATAGTAAGAAACTTCTTGGGTTCTAAGGTTCCAAGAATGTTTGAAGTTCTAGGAAAATCAGTGGCCTCAATTGCAGAGAACAAAGATATATTGATCATTGAAGGAATTAACATCGAAGATGTCTCCCAAACAGCAGCAACAATCCAAAACGACTGTTTTAAGAGAAAGAAGAATGATATTAGAATATTCCTGGATGGGATTTTCAATATAGAAAAAACAACAATGATCCAATAAATATCATTAATATAAGAGTAATAGGATATTGATTTTTAAACATCATGTAGAATTTTTTCCAGAAACAAGCCGTCAAATTCTTAAGAGGAGAGGGTCTTTGAATATAAAGTTTAAGCATGTGATTACAATAATTAGAACAGTAAGGTTAAGAATGAAAGGAATTTCTCATATAAAAAATCACATTTATTATTAATTTATTGCTGATTAAATAAATATGGCTCTTATATAGCTATTAAAGGTTGTCTTTTTAGCAAATCTCGTATTCTACTTGCTTGTCTTTCTGTTGCTTTTTTTCGGTATTTTCCTCCTTTCCCTTTACAAAATTCTTCAGCAATCTCTTGTGAGCCTCTATAAATTTCAAATCACGTGCTTTAGATTCCTCTTTTCTACTCAATATTCTTTCTTTAATGAATGTATCCTCCAAAACTTGTTTCACTTGTGCAATTCGAGGAATATTTTCGATAGTTTCTAGCATCGTTTCTCTGTTGTATATTTTAGGCTCATCTACTCTTCTCTCAAACTGGAAAATGGGATGATCCACCAACTCTTTACCATACGCCTTTCTGGAAATACGGGTCCATCTAATCTTTCTGGGATTCAATCTTTTTTTAAACAACTTAAAGCATTTGGATCTGCAGAACATAAACACTGCACAGTCTGAACGGACAAATTTAGTTCCATGCCCGGGATAAATATTTGCTGAGCAGAACCAACATTTGTGAATTCTCATTGGGGCTACAAAAAATTTTTTCAACTAAAAACTTTCAAGTGAATATTACTAAGAATTCGTATATGGACTATATATGACTAACTCGATAAACAATTTATTAATGGTTACTAATCAGCATTCCATTCTCCAGTTCTTCCTTCACCAGCTAAAATTTGTCGCAGAACTGTCTTCATATTCTTCGAATCTATGATCAAAATATTTTTATCGGGTTTTTGTGAAATATCTTCATCAATAAAGTCGAAACTGCAGCTGCGACTAAACATAACTAGCTTGTCACCACAATCCAAAAGGATTATTGATGAAAATTGATCTTCAAATTTAAAGTTTATGTAGATATCAATCATATGGCTCAGAATGAATAGCATATTAATGTCAAAATTACAGACTGACAGCTTGTTTGTTACAGTATTGCCACATCGTAAGGTATCCTTCACTTGTTCGGTGTCTGCAAAATTCCCCAAACTCTCTTCCTTGTTCAATTCCTTGCAAAATGATCCTTTTAGGGTAAATATCATTATATGTTCGGTTTTCTGAATCCCTTTAATTAATTCTTTAAATAAAAAAATTGATTTGTGATAAATTTTACATGATTTTTGAATATCCATATATTTCCGCTTATTTAGAGAAAGCAAGGCGTAAAGTGGTACATTCTTGTGTAAATAAAACAAAATTATGAAGAACTGTTCAATGCCCTGAATCTCCAAGTCATAATCGTATTTAACCACAAAAAACGGTTTGACTCCAAACACATCTTCCATCTGCTTCTTCTGATGACTATCAATATTCTTATAAGGCTCTCTAGAGGTTGCAATGGAAATTCCATTCTTGGCCAAATGTTCGTTAATCTTGCGATCTGGGTTCTTCAGTAAATTTTTACGTAAAATAATTCTAAAGCTATTCTTTATTGCCAGAAACAGATTGCTTGAATAAATAAACGGCAGGTTAATAACCTCTTTAATTCGTAAGCTTCCCTCAACTAATTTCGATTGCATCTCCAGCTCGTTCATCAATTCAGTACAGAAATCACAGCATCCATAAAAATCTATCGATTTATAGAATGAAAACAACGAAACTAGAGGCCAAATGGTTTCTGTTTTTAGAAAATTGATAGATTTAGCTAACTTGTAGGTTAAGTAACAACTGTTTATTTCTCCTCCACAACCACACAAATTACCACAAACTCTATCATCCAATAAATATCTTTTTTCCCCTGAAAATAGTATTAAGTTATGATCAAGTTTGCAAAACTCTATTTCAAATTTGATAAATTCCTTTTTCAACACCTGCAGTAGTATGCTTAGCGTACAAATGCTCTGTACATCAATATTGCAGGTGATTTTTATGGTGTTTGATTTATCCAGAGATAGAATTATTCTTCTAAAGTTAAGTCCATTTATAAAAGTATCCTGGTTTTGATCCTCTGGATACTTTTTACTCGCTGGTTTACAACTACTTCTCTTTATTTTGTCTTGTTTTTTCACTTCCTGATTCATTAAATCGGTATTGGAAATATTTTCAGAATTTTGATTCATTTCTGCATAATTAGATTCGGGGATGAGCTTTTCCGTTACAAAAGAACCATAGATATTTTGGTTGGGAATATTTTCTATGCCTTTATCTTCTCTTTCTCTCTTTTTAATCTCCAATTCTTTATTTTTTTCTGGTTGCATTTTAAGGATTAAAAGTTTTATAAATGTCACCAAATTCAAACATGAGAAAGAAGGCTCGAATCAGTAAAGAGTTTCGAGCCAAAAGAAATGGTAAAGTAGATGAGAATAGAGAAATAGATGAGGGAGATATGAGGGATGTTATTAAAGATCCGAATGAGAATGGACCAAATGACTTGTCTTCCTGGAGCTCCAAAGTAATATCTCCAAACAATTCTGGAGTAGCAAAGTCAATAACTAATACAGTGGCAAGAATAAATAACGAGACTATGGAGGAATTTTATCTGAATAAAACTAAGGTTTATTCTGATGAATTTTCTGAAATAATTCAAAATATCCGAATATCACAGATGGGCATATTATCCAAACTAAGTAATTTTGCAGGAGAATTGGAGTGGAAAATCAATAATGTTCAGATAAAAACTAAACAACTTAACCAAAGCTTGTTGGAAAGAAGAATTTCTCCGAAGCACACGGAAGAACCCCTTCCAAATATAGTATGCACAGACTTCATTTGTATTTTTCTCGATTCTGATAGGAATTCAGGCAATCATGCTCGAGGATCTAATTTAGAAATAGTAGATGCCGAAGAGAATAGGATCGATTTATCAAAAATGGGATTTACTCCTGAGTCAAGTATGGCATCAGTTTCTACAACACACAATGCAATAAAAACGGATATAGAACGAATTAATAAGCCCAAAGAGTATGGATTTACATTTAAAACTATTCTATCCCAGCTTGAGACGATTAAGAGAGAAAATGAAATCTTAAAAAGAGAAAATAGTGTTTTAAAGGAGGAGCATGAGTTAAAAGAAATGGATGTTTTTATTAATCTATCTGAGAAGAGAGAGCTAAAGAAAAAGATTCAAGAATTAGAAGCGAAACTTAAGTATTACAGGACTTTGTGAAAATTTTCGTACAACAGTGTTATAATATGAAATCTTAATAAACTTTTTTATATTGTGAAGCCCATGCCTATTTACGTAAATATTAGCGATTGTATTTTATATAGCTTCTATTAGTATCGATTTGATTGAAAACTAATCGAATCTTCATGGTTAGATTTATGAGCAGTAAATACCATTTCCCATATTCAACCATTAAGGGAATAGTACTGATATATTTGTTGATAGTTTGATAAAAATATCCGTAGTTGCTGTCAACAGTCATTGCAAGCCTAGTTCAATAATTCCTTTTCTCCTAACCTCCTCCTAAGTTTCTCCCTTCAATTTCCCCCTCAAAATTCTCAACAATTTAAATTAAAATTTTTCATAGAAGGGGTATGTATAGAGAAATGAAGAATGCATTTTCTGCAATTGATGACAGCGACGAGAACTTAATGCAGGAGGACAACAACTTGAATTCTTTGAAACTACAAAATTACGTTGATGACGATATATACAGCCATTCTTTAAAAAATGATGAAAATTTTTTAAATATTCCACGGAAGAAAAAAGAGAAGAGAAAAAGAAAAAAGCAGGGTGACGAACCTAGGAAGATAACAACAAGGAAAATAGTAAACTTGCCAGCTTCACAGCCATATATAAAGACTGTTGATGGCGAAGAAAGGCTTGCATTTAAATATAATACGAAGTTGAGCGAATCTGTTTTAAATTCTATGCCGAAAGATGCCATGGAAGAGAATGAGTTCTGTGTTCGATTTGATTTGGAATCGGTTGATATAACCAAGTTGAATGAAAAGTTCAAGGCAGACAATTGTGTCTATCCCCGTGCAAATATTCCATATGAACGATACACAGGAAACAGATGGAACTATGAGACAGAATGTAATAGACTAGCATGGCAGTTTGTTTCTTTGAATCCAGTACTTCTGTATGGGAAAAAAGGATTGATCCAAAGAGCGGTTGATTCCTATAGAAACATCAACAAATCCACCAAGGGAGGCAAGTATTTCCGAGATGAAATATTTCCAGGGGATATTGAAAAGAGAAAGCATGTTACACCCCTGATCAATTCAATATATGTAGAATTTACAGTGAGGGGAGTGATAAAAAGGTGTAAAATCCAGGTGGATATTGATAATTTAGACTACAGTGTGATTCCGGACGAGTTCAAATCCAAATATTCTGTTCTGCCCGAAGAGTTTGATGAGAATTCGTTTGGAGATCCATTCTGGAAGGGAAAAAACGAAGACAATGAATTGGCAGTCAAAATAGCGTTTTTGAATGTTGAGAACAGTTCATTTCAAAACACCATCAAACTTGTTGGGATTAATTCGGTTTTGAAGCAAGCTGTAGAATGCTACAAGAACAAACTAGATGAACAACAGAATGATTCAGAAAATGATGCTATTGATGTTGTCAATGAAACCCTAAACCATGCATTTGACCAGCTCAACACTGCCGGGGAAGAAGACTTTTATTTCGGCAGTGCAGAGAAATAATATTTAAAGGACTCTAAAGAGAATTTTCATATGCTATTCAGAAACTAAAGCTAATTGGAACAAGAAACTATTTTCAAACAAGAGTCAAATAATAAATTTGAAATATTCAATTTTTGTGAGTGTACTTTATTTTTTCAACTGTTTTGGTTTAGAACTCCATTATTCACTGTTTAAAACTTTTTCTTAGCAATAAACAAGAGAAAATCTGCTAAAATAATGAAAAATCATATAAATTAAAATTTTAAAGGATATTTATTCTCGTCACCATCGAAATATTTACCCTTTAATATTATTAAATTGAAACACACCTAACGCCATTATTCGATGGAAGCAATATATTTTGTAATATGAAACAAATTTTCTTGAGTGGAGTAATTATTCCTGATAAAGCCATGCATAGTATAGCAATTTTGATCCCTTTATAATTGCTCTGCTTAATGTTATGTTTTACATTGATTACTTTTTAGAAACATCGGCTAAAACCAGGTTTTATATTGTTTATCCCAAAAGCTATAAAAATAGGTATAACAAATAAACACATGATACACTATGCTCTTCTCACCCTGTTTCATAAAATACTTGCAAGTGAATGTACTCTTTTGCCTGATGGATTGGTTCTTAATAAGTATATTCTTAAGAATTGTGGGGCATGCCAGAGAATTGAGCCTGTATTGAACGAAATTAAAACCAAGATTGATCAGACTGAACTGCCAGTAAAGTACAGGGAAATAGTGTGCAATGATTGTGAGTGTGAGGGGATCACGCATTTCCCCACCA